CAGATTTAAAGCAGTCAGCCGCTGTTCATACGTGGACTCCTTATGTTCAGGGACGGCCTTGGTAGAACGTCGTTTAACACCTTCGAGAATCCGCATGTCTTTCTGAAGACAGGGCCGCCAAGTCCATGAAATTGCCCCTGTTCTTCTTCCTCTTCGGTAGGTGATGCACACGATAATTAAATGTATGGTGCCATGCCTAGAGACGTCTCCGACCGCACCAGCTACCTGCGCCTACTCTAGCCTCCGTTATTCCGGAATTGTGACCCGGTCCAGGTGGGGGAGGGGAAGAGAGGCCGGTAGATGTTCCGCAAGTCTTCTCTTATTACTATCTGATTCGCACATAAGTCACCGAACCTGTGCCATTTTGCGGTGCTGCATATGCGGACCTCGAGAGATAGGACGTGTGAACCATGAGAATAATAACTGGGGCATAGAAAATGACTTATAAGCTAGCGGGTTAGATAAAAACGTACACAGCTTTGAATTCGGCACTGTCGGACCTGGAATTCATAAACATATTTGGGGATACTTCTAAGAGCGCACACTCGTTTATACAGATGTCTCGTTGGCGTAGGATAAGCAAAAAAACGAACGGTCGCCGATCCTGCCTAAATTGGCTGTCACTTGTTCACTTAATCCAGCACTGACCGACGTTCTTATAACTTTTTTGTTCCTTCTCATCCTCCTAATATGTTTGTTTAAGGTTTTCCCTCACAGTATTGTTTATGATTAATTATCCTGCAATGTCATTTCGAGGAACGATGATGTTGCTTTGCGACCTGTAGGCCAATGACCAACTTCTGCATTATTTTTCTCAGTTTTTATTTAGTTAGACTGTACAGCAATAACATGCCGACAATATCTGGTGCCTGAGTACTACTGAGATCTTTTCGAAATTGGCATCTGTTACTTTAGATGTGGTTCTGTGATTGCTTTCAGGTGGTTTCAAGGTTGAAATTGTCTACGTAGTTCGGACAAATTTTCTTCGCCAGCGTCATCATGGTATTTCACGTCTATCTTCGCTTCACGTCTGTTATAGGTGTTGTTAGCTGCTGCCATTTGTTCGAAAGATGGAAAAGGTAACTTCGCCTTCCCAATTTTGACTTCGGTAAATAGTATTGGTGTCTCGCCAATTCGTGGAAATGTCGAAATCCAGAATCGAAGGACTGATTGCCACTTTTACAAAATTAATAGATTCGAGTAAGTTAATTTTGAACGTTAAATATAAAATCTGCGCTTTTTGCGACTTCGACTCTTTTTGTGCAAGAGTGTAGCAATTTATCCTCTTGAAATGCACATATCGCTTTTAAACAAAGACTTGTTCTTGATCCGTCTTCATTTTTTATAGGCAAGCAGCACACATTTATTGAAACCGAATCTGTTCGGTATGTTTACCAGCCTTTGGAACGCATGTATGTCCTGTTGATAACCACAAAGGCGAGCAATATTCTTGAAGACTTGGAGACACTTCGGCTTTTCGCCAGAGTGGTAATCTTGTTATTTTAGCCACCGATTAAGGTCACTTTAATAGATCCCAGAGTATGCTCGCGGTTCTGAAATATCTGACGTGGTTGACAATGCGTTCCAGCTGATTTTTGCTTTTGACGAGATCGTTGCGCTTGGTTATCGTGAGACAGTCACGCTTTCTCAAATCAGAACCTACACTGAGATGGATTCCCACGAGGAGCGTATGTTTATCGCTGTACGCGAGGTAAGACAAGCTACTGTTTAATGTGATAACCCTGTTAAATGTCGCGAGGCTAAGAAGTTCACAGGAGAGTACACATGTACCCTCTGTTTTCTAGAATCAAGAAAAGGAAGCCAAGGATACAATGCGCAAACGAGCAAAGGAACTACAGCAAGCGCGGATGGCTGCAGCCAAACAGGGTATCTCCCCGACAGCTGCTCTCAGTAATTTCGCCAGTGGTAGAAGTGGATACGATCCGATCCCAGTTCAGCCAACTCTTGATCCTCGGATCGGTAAGAAGTTTTGGGGGAGATGCACTGTTTTTTGGACATGTCTAATTATAACCTATACTCTCTTAAGGATTTTAAGTGTCCTCTTAATCGCACCATCGTATAAATTATCAGATTTACTCCTGTAGGAAAATTTATCGACTGCAGGCTAGCCTGAAAGTGCGTCCTCCGATCTTCCCTACGTTACTGAAAGTTAATTTGTTTTCCCTGCCATTTGCGCTACAGTGTATATTTTCTAGTAAGCCTTTATATTCCACATTTTTACAATTTGTATAATTGACATAGTATCCGAATGGTCCTTATATTTTATTCCGCAAGTTGAAATGGAGGCTCAACAGTAGATTCTGCAATTTCGATTCTTATTTCCTTTGGTTACGTTGACAAATTTTGACGTGTAGTAGACCTATTCGCAGACTAGTTATAGGAGTTTCAGTTTCGAGTCCAAGTCGGGCCAGAAGAACGGTTAAATCAGACCCGTAATGCTACTAGCCGATCCATTACAAACAATAGCCGCGTATTGCCGGCTTCCAGAGACGGGAAAAATAAAATAGGACCTTACAGTACAAAATTTTTGTAAATTTGTATTTTGCAATGACTCATAGGAAGTACATATTGTCAAAAACGTGCCTTTTAATAAGTTGACTATTTCATTTTGTGACTCGAAACGTGCCGATCTTAAGTGAAAATAAATATAACCGTTATCCAACTCTTTGGTGTTAGTAGCGTTATTTTCAGTTTTTGGCTTTCAAATTCAACAAATAGACCAACATTCTTTTACCGACCCATGTTCTTTCTGAAGGTTTTAATAAACATCTACACCTGTAGCTTTGTTCTTTTAATTGGATTATGTTCACAAAACTGTTCTGGAACTACTTCAGTTGACAACATACACGGTTCTATAATGTCCTTTACGGCAGAATGTGATGCGGAAACCTATAGTTTCGGAAATATTTATGCTCCTTCTGCAGTAAAAGACCAATCTTTATAGCAAAATTTTCTAACACTATCATTCCTTGTCTTATGGGCGAAGATCGAAAGTCTGCTGCGACGTGCCTCAGTATTGGCATGTAATCTTTCATTCGCAGAGCGCTTTATCCTTTCTTGAATGCATATTTGGTCTAAATCTTGTCTCTGTAAACACATACTGCCAAAATTGGATGTTTTTAGTCATTTAGACCTGCGTTATCTCGTGCTTTTTGTCAACTTATACCCGTTACTTTTTACTTTTGGTCATATTATATAAAAATGGTCCGACTTAGGCTAATGTTTAGTTCGAGGCAGAACAAGTATCAAAATCGCAATTCTTCCTTTGTACAGTCTTTTGGGAAATTTCTCGAAAGAATTATGTGAGGGCCTGTGGATAATCAGTGAAGGACCGCGCCAAGGGTCTGTTTCTCCAACACTCTTATGATATCCACACTTGTAATCTTTCTGAAATGACTTTTTCGACAACAGGTAGTAAAACATTCTGACCTATTAATCGCCTTGTCAGCTGCTTAGAAGTCACTTGACGCATTTTTTAAATAAAAGAACCTTGGCCGATTTTTCTGGATGCCCCTACTTAGTAAAGACAAGCATCCTAACCAGACAACCTTTTCATGGGAAAAGAGATGCTTGTCCTTTTATTGGGTCTTTGTGAGTAAAAAAACACAATCCCACTAGCTTGGGTTTTTGCTAAGCATCCGTTTTTGACATTTAGGTTTGATACCTGACGTTTGTTCAGCCTTAGATCGATCTATGCACGACTGGTTTAAGCCCCAATATAGTCAGTTAAAATTGTTCCTCCACTAGATCGGCGAAGCGCATATATTCATCATATTCCCGATCTCAGCCGACAAAGCAAGGAGCCCGTGGTGCCGAGGTAGAGTGTTAAACTCATTGACCAAAGGTCCCGGGTTCGATTACCGGGGGTTCCAACCCTTGAGATTGGGTATGACTGACTGATGACGGCTCACAAGCCAGAAATGGCCATTCCGGTCTCCATTTGCTTTGTCGGATCCATTTAATCAGTCACAAGAGTATTTAGAGGTATCATCTTCTATTTTGATAGCGTGGACTTTACCTCTTCATATAATTTCTGGCAGTGAGCGTAGATGTCGTGCACATTTCACAGAATAAGGACACTTCTGGCTGTTTGTAATGATCGCCATCATATTCGTTGAACCGACAGTTAAGTTTCAGATATACAACGGTTTCCTACAGCCGCCACCACCACTACGTGCTGTCTTGCTGACACAATCTGTAGGCTATATCACATTCCTCTTCCATAAAAACCGTAACGTGCGCTGCATTCTTTGCAGCACTTTGAAGTTTCGTTTTTTCGCTTCCTACTGTGACGTCAACTTTCTTGTTTTACCCATACTACAACAGAGGAGTCCATCAGTACACCGCAAGACAACTATTCATCCCAACAGCAACAGCCGTCTGTGCGCAGAGGTATGCGTTTGGGCGGTCGCAGCGACAAGGGTGAGATGGACAAACTGGCGGGTATGTTGGGCGTTACGGGACCTGCAGCACCGACAACTGCCG